GGTAGTAAACTTTCAATAAAAATCTCCTTACAGATAAAGGCAATATTTTCAAAACCAGATCCAACCGGGAAAACTGAGAACCAATCACTTGAATGCTTTCATTTTATTCCAAAATCGTTATTTGGCAAAGAACCGTTGATTTGGTCAATAAACCACTAAATCGGATGGTCGAACCATTGAACCCTTTGACCCGAGAATGGTTTTTGACCATTTATGGGGTTTTTAAAAATTTTATTTTTTGTCAAAATGGGCTGCCCATTCGGACAGGATGATTGGACCATTCAACCCGGGAACCAGACTCAGAACGGTTCCCTGTCCAATCTAATTTTAAAAACCTTCTTGAATAAATGAACTATATTTCCATCAATTGTCTTCTAGTAAGACAAATTTGGGTTTCTATTGGTTTAGACATGAATGAAGTTCCTCCTTTGTTTCATCAAAATAAATAAAAAAGAACATGAATGAACTTATTCAATAGTTGTAGTATTGCAGATTGAACAAACTACATCAAAATGTTTATTGGTCATCATAAAATTTGGGTTTCTATTGGTTTAGACATGAATGAAGTTCCTCCTTTGTTTTATCGAAATAAATAAAAAGGAACATGAATGAAATTGTTCAATAGTTGTAGTATTGCAGATTGAACAAACTACATCAAAATGTTTATTGGTCATCATAAACAACATTAGAATAATTGAGGATTTTCATTAATTTACATACGCTCTGGTTAATCTCAATCATGAATTACTTTCATAAAATCCATAATATTAAGCGGTTTAGGTCATCTAATTAGTCTAATCCATTGCATACTTTCAACTATAAGATTGCCAAATACAGGGATTATTTTGAGTTTGAGTTGTACATCCATGTAACTTAGCACACTGATCAGTTTCTAACATGATTGACACATTGTCACGGGGGTAGTTCTACAGCGGAAGAAACCTGTGCGGCGTCCAGGCCAAGGTAAGCCAGGACAAGCCTTGATGCGCTTAGAGGCTAGGAGTTGCCCGATGGGATGGCTCCACCAAAGTTGGGGCACTCTCCTGGCTCAGACTGGTCCATGGGAGGTGCCACTTACATGCTAAAGGGGGACAACCATAATGCAAGGCGACTATGCGCCGAAGAGGTGACTAGGCACCGATGTGAGGGGTCTCCTGTATGTCGATGATGATGGACACCTGTGTGCCATGTTGATAGGCTATCGCTTGGGCCGAAACACACCCGTGCGCTAGAGGCAACGGGTAGCTCACTCAACTTGGGGAAGGGGCTGGCGTGGTGAAGGGTCATGCTTGAGCCAAGCCCGTATGCCAAGCCTCCCTTGAGTATCGATAGCGCAGTGCCGGTCCAACACTATCCCCATGAGCAAGTGTGCGCTCATGAGGAACCCTAGTAGCCATGCTAGTCGTTAACCAGGGCCACCCCGCAAGGGGATGATGGTCTAGGAGTGCCAAGGTTAGGCACCCAAGGAGGTCGACCACCCCTCCTCAAAGAGTACGTTAAGCTTTTGGTGGTCTGCTTGAAGATAACATCAGTTCTCCCAAAAATCTTACAGGCGAAAATGATGGTGATGTCCCTAACATAAGTCTGCCAAACATAGGCAAGGCTAAGCCTGTGTCAGACCATAACAAGATGGCACTAGTGGAATGGCTAAAACTGAATTATATTTGATGGTAAGTCCATCCCCTTAATAGTAGTTAATGGTAGTTTTGGATTTCAAAAATCTAACCTTTTACTTATTTTTTTAGGTAATAAGTTTTTTGCTTATTATTTAAAGTTTAACCTCCCTTCTGAGGCTAATGCATAAATGTTAAACTTTCATTGAAACCTTATGAACTTTAAATTATTAGTCTTCCGTTTTCTAACTGCAAGGTGGTGGTGGTGGTCTTGGGTTTCAAGGTGAGGAGGAGATGAAAATAGTAGATTAGGGTTCGGTCAGGAAAGTTTGGGGAGCAAGAATGAATGGTCGAACGAGTGAATGGGTGTCAAAATGCAGTTCGGGTCAGGTAGAAACAAAATTGCAAGCATGTTAAATGAGCACTTAAAAAAATTTTTGACACTTGTCCGCCCTTAAAATACCCCCAACCTACCTTTGAAAAAGATTAATACCTATTCTCCTCCGACCCAAAAGTACCTATATCTATAGAAGAAGAGGAGGACATATACGTGCATGGGATGAAAGATTCCAAAATATTCTTTAAGGCAGTTAATTTCTCAAGTGCCTAGGTTGATTCAATGGGGACACATATCAGATCCTATGGTGGGAACCACTTGTTAGCTTTAGCTTGTGCAAACCGCAACTACCTCTTCCTTTACGATCTTACCACATATTATATTATGTGCAAGGCATTTTTTACAGATCCTACATGCTTTGTTGTGGACTCTTTTTTTTTTTTTTTTTTATATTGCAACTTTTGTATTTGCATATATTTTGTGGCAGAAAAATGTGTCTTACAAAGAGGACACCTTGGTGCATCGCTACAGTTATATATCCATGGTAATAGACTTGTAGCACAATTACAGTTATCGTGTGATGATATAATTGTGATATATAAATCCATTCCCTTATATCAATTAAGGCTGTTCATGGGTGGGATTGGGTCAATTTACTAGTATTTTTTTAATTGATTCGACCCGGTTGTATTATTTAAAGATGCAACCGAAACCGATCCTATACTAAGCAAAATTGACCTGATCGGTTTGAGTCAGTTTGGATCAGTTTCAACCAATCTCAAGCTTTAACACTCATGATATTGAAAACCTTGCAATTGCTCATTGAAAATGGCAGCATGATTGGCATTGCCTATTTGGTGTAAAGGTCATAACTGCAATTATGAGCCTTAAGGAATAGGGAGGCGGACCAAGAAAAGAATAGTCAAAGATAAAGAATAATGAAATTTGGAAATTGGAAGAAGACTTCTAATCTAGGAAAGAAATGACACTTACTTGTCATTGCCTATTTGGTGTAAATGTCCTTAGAGAGTAGGGATCATTTCTTTAAATTTTTCCAAAAAATATTTCTAAAGAAGTAAAGGTGTAGGGACTAGGGATTCCTTGCCTTGAAATGCTTGCCATTAATGCCAATCCTAAAGAGAAGACTAGAAAGAATAGATAAGTAACTACAAAGAATCAAAGAAGTAAAAAACGAAGTTAGTAATTAACTAGGATAGAGACAACCTAGTTAAGTAATAAGTAGTTAGATAACTCAGTTTGGTTTGGTTTGGTTTCGATTTACACACATGAAAATCAAAATTGAATCAAACCGTTGATTTACTCATCTTTACAACCCAAAACCGACCAATGATGAAGAAAAATTGGCCAACTCGAATTGGATCAGACCAGGTTGATCGGTTTGAATTTTTTTATAAACAGCCCTAATACCAACATTTCCCCGAGTGTATATCATAATAGTTCACACTTGATATATTGGCTCCATTGATGTTTCTACCTAAAATGTTTTGGATCGATCACAATGGTCAAAATATTGAAAATTGAAATGCATTGGTGCATATTGATTGATATGTCAAATTTTCAACCCTATGATATGCTAAATACTAATAGTTTATGGGTTTGATTTGTTTTATATAATAGTCACAAAAGCATCAACAAAACAATAAAAAACATAATGAGTATTGAGAGTATCGATATCAAATACAACCTAAATTTGTGTTTGTGTGTGTTTTATGTTCTCGTACTTGTTTATAATATCATTTAAGCCTTAAATTTAATGTTATTTATGCATTTATGGGAATTTTATGTATTTATGTTTATCTTAATTATTAAGCATATCTTGACAAATATCATAAAATTGTCTTATTATTATACTTTGTGAAACCAATATTTGCATATCCAAATAATACTGTTATTGATTTGGAGGGTCGAGACGTGAGACTAGACACTCGATGGGTCCAATTAATACAAAATAATGCCTCTTAGCATGATTAGGTGAGCTCTCACCATGGAATCTGTGGAGTTTGGTAAGATTATTTGGAACTCTGGATAGCTATGACAGTATTTGAATAGTATTACATTTTAACATTTGGATTTCATCAAAGTCATCATCATCCTCATCCCAAGTTTTTATCTCAAATACATAGGGTTATTTACATCAGTACTATTTCACCATTCCATTTCAAAGGTTAGATCTGTATTAATTTAAATTCTTTTCAGTTTTTGTAATATTGGGTCAAATCACAATACACTGTATCAGCTCCATGTGTACACATGGGTCCCAAGTCCCATATGTTAAGATGACGTGGTGTAATGTGATTGGCCCAAAATCCTCCACTCCACCATTCCAATACCCCATATTGAGAATTCGGATCTATTCCTCAGAGAATTCAGATCTCCCATAGCCACATCTCAACCTGTTTTGTGAGATCAGATCCGGACTCCCATATTGGTGGCCTATATTATTATTATTTATTAACATTATCAAATAAAAAAATTTATTATATAATGATAATGGTGGGTGATACCTGCCTTGACTACATCTCAAGATAAACATTGAAAACTTTATTTATTTTTCTCTCTCCACTTGCAGGTGCCATTCAATTAATTATATTTTATTATAAAAAAAGCTTGGGTAAGGATTTAATATTTAAGTAATAAATATTAAAACCCTTAACCGCAACCCAAATAAAAAGAACAGAAAACCATTAAACATGGTAACTGGGTTACTGGAAATCTGGAATGGAGAAGAAAAGGGTTAAAAAAACAACAACAAAAGTTGTCTGTTCCCGCGTGTTCATTTTTACCTTGAAAGTTGAAAACCCAAACCTATAAAGCTATTCTCACATCAAGACTCAAATGCAGGAGAGTTTTTCGTTTGCAAAAACGCACTAGGGGTTTTCTTAAAACTTACCCCTTTGTACCGAACTTGGAATGTGACAAGGGAGGGCTAATTTTGTCAATTTACGTCATTAGGATTTGAGGGATATGTATGTGTATGGGTGAGTTGCGATTTGCGAAAAAAAAGCAGGTCTCGGTGTGGGAGAGAGAGAGAGAGAGATTGAGATTGAATTGGAACGGCGAGCGAAGGAGAAAGAAAGGGAGTTAGATAGGAGAAAGAGATTTATTTAAAGAAAAGGAAGGCGAGAAGGTCTTCCGCAACAGAAACACCGAACACAGATAAAAATAAGGGGAAATTCAAGAGGAATTTATTTAAAGAATAAAGAGAGGCTGATTTTCTTCTTTCTCTCCTTTGTTTTTTTTTTTTTTTTTTTTTTTTTCTCATCCCGCTTTTCTCCTTTCTATTCCCTTCTCTTCTCTTCTTCCCTTACCTTTGGGGTGGCATCCATGGCTTCGCTTCTATTTCTCTGCATCACCTTCGTTTCAGCGCTGCGTTTGGTCTCGTCTTCGTCTATTTGCCCTCCCCAGTCTCATCTCTTTTTGAACAGGATTCAGCATCAGTGCCCTGTCGAGATCTCCCCGTCTCCAGCTATCGAGGTATGGTTTTTGCGGTTTTTTGGTGTTATTGTTGATCTTTGTCAGGAATTACGTTCGAAACTTGGATTTTGGTTGGATTTCGTTGTTTGCCTTTTGGGCTTTGTCGGTAATCTTTGTTTTGGTGTTGAATTTGGGCTGCATGTTTTTTTATATCATATGCAACGGAGGAAAACAATTTTTGGATCTAACATTTTTTTTTAATTTGTTAGGGATTGTTTAGAATTTGAATTTCAATTATAACTTAAAAAAGTTATGTTTTTCTTGCAGAAACACACTTTTTTCTATTTATTTGTTATTTTCTCTTTGAGTTCTTTTTTTTTTGGAGGTGTATCAATTATTGCATTTTTTCGTCTTTCGGGCTATTGGTTTTTAAGGCAGGGATTTATGAGTTCGGGTTGGTATCTTGTTTTTTTTCTCGAATTAGGGTTTTTAATGCTGTTTTGGGATCTGTGTCCTGGAAAATGGAGAATCAGAATAAAGTGTATCGGTTGAGTTTGTACATGTTGAGGCTATTTGGCTCTGGTGGTATCTTGTTTCCAAACTTTCGGAATTTGGGATGATATAAATGCAGCATTTGGTTGTTGTTGAATGTTGACTTTTATACTTATGTTGAATTCTGTTTTAAGCTAGATTTTGAAGGAATTATGAAGCATATGGACTATTGTTTATCAAAAAAGAGAACCTTGTTGGTGGTTTCTTCTTGAAGATTTGAATCTAGCCCCTTTTTAATTATATGTAGGCAAAATTGTCAAGTTTCCGTAACTGTTGTTCTTTATGCATTCCCTAACACTATCACTTGGATTATGTATATTGTTTACTTCTCCATAAAGAAGAGTAGAGTGACACAACGTCTGTACTCCAAAAACATCATGTTAGATTATGTCTTACATTATCAACAATCTGATAGCTGACTTGTATATGGACATCTTGTTCTACTTAGCCTAGGCGTTGGACAATGAGATGGTTGCATGGAGGCTTTTCAGAATTAAATTTTTACCATGATGCCATTATCCTGATGTAGTCTTTATTGCATCTTTCCTTTCTATCCCCCCATTTCCTGTTATTGTCATTTTTATCCTTAGTATAATAAATTTCTGTTGTCAACGGGGGAGACAAAATTATAGGTACCATTATTAGACTACCATCAAGTTGTAGTAGATCAACTAGATATCCAGGTTTGCTTTCATAACCCATTAATCATAAGATGATTTTGGAACACTTAAAATGTGTCTGTGGTCATAATCATACACACAAAAGCAGATGATTTTGGAATACTTAAAATGTGTCTGTGGTCATAATCATACACACAAAAGCATCTCTTCTCTTCATATGTCTTTATCTGCCAATTATGTGCTGATGGGGGGGAGGGAACATGTCATCTGCCTTTAGGAATTTTTCTGAGACTTTTTTTTCTAGACTGTGATTGCAAACAAACTCAAGTTCTAAAGTGGAGTTATATAAGGTTAATGATAGGTTTCGTTGTTTTCCCCCCAAAATTTTGTGCTCATTACCCATGAGTTGAGTACCGGATTATCCAAGAATGTTGCAATCATATATTACACATTTATATGCAGAAATTGCAGCCAAAGATGTAGAGTAATAAATAAATTGTAAAGGAAAATGTATTACATAATTGCTTTGTTCCTCTTATACTGGTTTGAGGGGGTATCAGATTTGAAAGTCAGCTTAGCCAAGAGTGAGATGCTTCTCATTGGCCTGGTGTTTAACACAGAGGAGTTAGCTGAGGAACTGGGGTGCAAAGTTTTCCATTTCCCTTCCATGTATCTGGGGCTGCTCTTAAGAGCCACATGCATATCAAAAAGCATTTGAGATCCAGTGTTGGAAAAAATGGAGAGGAAGCTGATATCTTGGAAATCTAAATATTTGTCTAAAGGAGGAAAACTAGAACTTATAAAAAGTGTCTTGACCAGTTTGCCGGCTTACTATATGTCTCTATTTCCCATTCCATCCTCAGTTGCAGCTAAGTGGAGCAAGTTATGAGGAATTTCCTCTGGTCAGGATGGAAAGGCCCTCCAAAACTCATTGGGTGAAGTGGGATCAGGTTTTCCGACCCTTAGAAGATGGCGTCCGGGTATTAGAAGTGTGAACTGTGAAGCTCTTCAATATTGCCTTACTGGGTCACTGGTTTTGGCGTATCAGTTCTGAACCTGATAGTTTGGGGTGGAAGTTTATTGTGGAAAAATATGGCTTGAGCAGAAATGGGTGGAGTGTGGAGGTTCCTCAGTATCCATGGAAAGGCATTTGCAATTGCCTTCCTCAATTATTGAGAGGCATCAGATTAAGGTTGGAAAGGGTGACAATATTAGTTTTTGGAATGAAGCCTGGTGTGCTGATCTCCTCTTCAAGGACTTGTTTCCCCCTCTATTTTTTATGGATTATTGGCTTGCAACAAGAGGCCCTAGTTGTGGAGTCTTACAGCCTAGACAGGGGCAGACTAGCGAGGAATCTGACATTCTGTTGGTATTTCAATTATTGGGAGCTGAGATGACCCAGTTTTTTGCCATGTAACCCTTGGGAGGAAGATTCCAGAATCTGGGGTTGGCACAGTTCAGGCTCATTTTCAGTTCATTCGTTTTGTAATGGTCTACCAAGTGGAAGTAGCTCATCTTACAAGGCAGTTTGGAAAAATACGAACGATACAATCAATTTTTGAGAGTTTGGAGATCCCTCAAAGGCTAGAAACTTGAAAGGAGTAATAAAGTTGTTTGAATGTGTGTTGAAGATGAAGGTCAATTTTGAAAAGAGTTGTGTAGTGGGGGTAAATTGGGAGGCAGAGGAGTTGGTTGAGGTAGCAGAGTCCTTAGGTTGCCTTATTTCTAGCTGGCCGTTGAAGTACTTAGGTATGCCTCTAGGAGATAATCTAAGTGAAGGAAGATTTTGGAATTCGATCCTAGAAAAATGCACAAAGAAGCTGGCAGTTTGGAAGAGAAACTACATTTCTCTTTGGGGTTGGATCACTTTAATTAGAGCTACTCTTGCAAACTTGCCAACTTACCTTCTTTCCATCTTTAGAATGCCACAAAAGGTGATTTTGAAGGTAGAGAAAATCATGAGGGATTTCTTGTGGGAGTCAGGGGAAGGGAGGAAGGATCATGTGGTTAGGTGGGAAATAGTATGTAGGAGGAAGGAGCAGGGGGTTTGGGATTACGCAATCTAAGGAAGAAAAATACAGCATTACTAGGTAAATGGCTGTGGAGGTGGCCTCTAAAAAGGGAGAGGCTTTAGCATATAGTGGTAAGGAGCATGCATGGTGTGGTAGACAACGAATGGGATGCTGGTGTATCTCGCCGTGCTACGCTGAAATCCCCATGGAAGGCTATTCATAGTATTCTTCTCGTTTTCCTGAACCTGATCAGGTATGATACTAGTACTGGAGATAGGGTTTTGTTTTGGGAGGATGTTTGGATTGGTGACTGTGCCCTCAAGGACTTCTTTCTTTGTATTCCATCTCATGTTTTAAAAACAAGCCAATTCAAAGGTTCGTATCCTCTTCCTCTGCTTCTGGCATAAACTGGAATATGGGCTTTAGAAGAGACTTGAGAGATTCTGAGCTTGACCAGGTTGCTTTGCTCCTTAAAACCATTGATTCCGTTTGCTTGGACCCTTCTTCTATAGATTCCCGTATTTGGAAGCCTTTTCCTTCGGGTTCCTTTTCTTGTGCTTCCTTCTTTGCTTCCTTGTGCTCCCCTCCATTGCCTCAACCTTTTCATAGCAAGGAAGTTTGGTCCAAACCTGTCCCTCCTAAAGTTGGAGCCCTTTGTTGGGAAAATCAACACTTTGGATGTTTTGCAAAAAAGAAGACCTAGTCTTTGTATCTCTCCTAACTGGTGCACCCTTTGCAAAGCAAACGAGGAAAGTTGCTACCATTCACTAATCACTTTCCCTTTTGTTGTAGGCCTTTGGGAAAAGCTTTTTGATCTTTTAGGGTGCAGGTGGACAGAACCGATGTAGATTTGCAATCTTTTTGATCCTACAAATTTCAGGTGACCAAAGAGAAGAGGAAGAGTTTTGTGGAAGTGTGTGAGAGGTACTTTGGTGTGGTTGTGTGGGAGGAACGAAATGCTAGAATCTTTAATGACAAGGAGAGGGATCAAACTTGTGTGTTTGAAAGCATCTTATGTAGGGCCATAAATTGGGTAAAATCCTTGGATCTGTTCTCTTCCTACACTTTTGATGACATAAGGAGAAATTGGGAACAACTGGATAAAAGTTCTGCAGTCAAAAGCAAGCCGGTGGTGGATTGGAAGTCTCGTGATGCAAGCGTCATTAAACTAAATTTTGATGGCAGTAGTTTGGGCAACCCGAGGTTTTCTGGAATAGGGGGAGTCTTTAGAAATGAAGAGGGTCAGATTGTAGCTCTATTTTCTGGTCCTATAGGGTGGGGAGACTCAATAAATGCAGAACTCCAAGCTGTGTTACAAGGAGCAGAATATGCAAGAGAGTTGGCAGCGGAGCATTTAATGATTGAAGGTGATTCCAAATTGGTTGTTGGATGGCTAAAAGAACCAGAGACGGTAGCCTAGCTGTACAAGGGGACTTTGAAAAGATTTAAGTGGCTGACTTCAAATATTTCAGTCACAGTTCATTGGAAAAGAAGACGACAAATGGGCTGGCAGACCTCCTAGCTAAACAAGGAGTACATAGGAATCAACTCTTTTAGGCTCAATTGTAAGCTTTTTGTTGTAGTTAGGAGGCTGCACCTCGCGCCTCTTAGTGGGGAATTGTATGTATACTTAGTTCTTTAATCAATAAAATTATCATTTTCATTATCTATCAAAAAAAATATGGCTCCTTCGAAAGTCTTTTTTTTTTTTTTTAAAGTCTGGGTAGCTACTTGGTCAAATATCCAACTAAGGTGAACTTATCTAGGACAAGTGCTGTCCTGGATAGTGCCTTATGTCCTTTCTGTGAGCAATGGCCCGAAAATTCCAATCATCTAATTTCTTCATTGTGCCTTGACTAGCAAAGTGTGGCGACATTTATTGGGTAGCATTTATCTTTAGTGGTGTCAACCAAGGGTTTTTTTTGAGATGCTCAATGGTTGTAGTGTAGGTGGGATTAACAAAAAGGGCAAAACTTGTTGGGTTGTGATCCCTTTGGCTGTTATTTGGGCTATGTGGCTAGAAAGGAACATTAGGGTGTTTCAATCCCAGTGATTTAAAAGGCGCACCTAGGGCCTAGGTGCACAGGTGAGGCGCATTTTAGGGTAGATGCCTCGCCCAGGTCCTAGGTGCAACACTTTCAAAAGGTGCGCCTTTTGAAAATTGTACATTTTTTGTTTTTTTTTGAACCTAGTGGCTGGGCTGGGGGCTCCACCCTAGGACCCCCGACCACGCCCCTCAAGGCAAACCCAAACAAGTCCATGTTTGGGTTTTAAATTCTTAATTCTCACATTTGCTCACTCACCAAAGCTTCAAGAACCCTCTATTTGGTAATGTTGTTCATTCATTCATCTTAATAAAATATCTTCTTAAAAGGCAATTAAAATTATAAAATCATTACTTTTTGTGTGAGAATTAAGAATTTAAGACCTGAACATGGACTTGCTTGGGCTTGCCTCGAGGGGCGTGGCACAAAGGCAACTCATAGAATCAGGAATGTAATATGTTTTACATCATATTAGCTACTTAAAGTAATGCAATTGAGGAAAAAAAGAGATTGTGGGTTTTACATGCTTGAAAATGTTTTATATGTTTGATTTTATTTTTAAATTTTCATTTGAATATGCTTTACATGTTATGTTTATGTATTTTAGTTTTAGATAATAGGTTTTTTAAACCATTAGTTTTAAAATTTAAGTTTATATTTATTATTAACATTATGTTTAATATTTTTTATTTTTTTCATTTTTTTGGCATTTTTTTATTTTTAACAATTTTTTTTGTATTTTTGCGTGTTGCTTCAAAAAGGCGCTCGCCTCACTTTGCGCTTTTAAAACACTGCCAAGGACCATCCTGTTGAGCATGCTATAAACTCATCTTTTGATTTCATTAGGGTTTGATTGAAATGTAATAGCTTTTTTTTAGAGTAATTCTAGCCCCATTTTCTTGGCTGTGTGAGTTTTTGGGTCGTCTTAAATTCTTAATGCTCTATGGGTTTATGCACAAAAGCTCATTGTACAGAGAGCTGTAAATAATTTTTTGATAGGGACACGGATCGTTGTTGTTAAAAGATCTCAGTGTGTATTTAGGGAGGGATTGCTTATTGCTTAGGCTTGCTTAATTGGAGCTATGCTTCTATGCCTCCCCTTTGTGGTCCTTATGTGTTATTGCTCCTAGACCTAGAGAGAACATGGCAGTGTGGGAAGTGTGTTCATGGCTAAATATGGTGAATCCTTTATCTAGGCCATTCCCTATGTACAATTGGTATGGGGTTTACAAACTTAGGATATTGTCCTTATAGTCTCTACTCAAGCTGGAAGTGTCATCTCTGAATTTTATTTTCAGCAATTTTAAGTGGTATTTTGAATTCCCATTTTGAGAAGTCCTCCCAAGTAGAAATATGATAGAGAGAAGATGGGTTAAAAGGAAGGCTCAAGCCTAAGACCTATGAGCCTCAAAGCCCATAGTTGCATCTATCAAGAGGATAAATATCCCATAGATTTCAAGGAGATTTGATTTCCATCGATAAATATCATTGTAAACATTTACATTCTTTTGAGAACTAATGAAAACTGAATTGTTTCTTATAACTTGTTGTTTGGTGTTGACTCCAAGCTTGAAGCTGTTCAGCTTTAACTTTATCTCTTCCCAATGGGTGGTTGGCAAGTATGATCTTCTCAGTGCTATCAAAGTGCTGGTTAGTTAGTTGAGGGCCAGATTGACTACACCACTAACGAGTCAGTCAATACTCATGATATGGTCACTTGGGATGACTAAGCATCAACTAGGTCAACTAGTCAACTACAATAGTACAACTACAGGGTCATTTTAAAGCTTTATTTGTTTGTTTCTGTCTATAATTATATGAAATAATATTAAGGGTAAATCTCTTAAACTACCCCTACTATTCACGTGTTGTTCTTTGGACATTTTCTGGAAAATGTGTCTAAGATTGTTCTTTGGATATTTCTATAAACTCCACATGTGTTGATGGAAAATCAATGGTGAGGATTAAAATGGGAAAAATAATTTTTATAAGAGTCAGTGGTAAGAGTTGTCAGTTACTCAGTTTTTGTATAAAAAACTGAAATAACTCAAGGTTTTGATATGTAAATGATGACCAACTTCTCTGTCATGATATTTACTTGGTTTTGGGCTCATCCTTGCAGAAATCTGCTACAGTTTTGTAACTTCAGTATGGTAATGTCTACTTAATAATCAAGGAAAGCTCATGATACTAATTTAGATGGTCTAAATCTTTTTTCTCCTTAGCTTATGATTACCCATAGTGGCATTGAAAGTATTTCCGTTCTCATCTTAATGCTGCAATACTTTGGGGCTATCTTTGTTGTTTGAGATTGTGAGGGGTCAGTTATTATTCTTTTGCATTTTATCGTTCAGATATTTCCTGTATTGGTTTGTCTTTGGTTCTAGCTGCCTCTGCTTGACTGCTTCTGTCTCTCCTATAAGAGCTTTGATTATTGTCTTTTGATTGTTTTGATTCTTGATAGAGTAATCATGTATATTGCAATATTCCCTTGCTAACTTATAGTCACCTTTTTTTTCACTAATATAATCACCTTTGAATCAGTTAGAATTGCTGTTTTGTCTTCTCTCTGCCTGATTGGTTTGCTTTGCCCTGCACCTCTTCAGTCAACATGTTGTTCTCACATTTGGGCTTCATGAAAATCTTCCATTGACTGTTATTTCTTTTCATTAGTTCTGTATGCCTTATTGTTTAATTAGTTTCTCTTTATGGATTTGCAGAGTGTAAACCTTGCAAATGGTTTGTTGGTTGAGTCTTGAGTGCAAAGTGAAATAATTCTTATTTCTTGACATTGTTTTTGCCCCCTTTTAAGGTTGATGGAGATTCACTTGAAAGAGCTTTAGGCTCCAATTGGAGGAACACGTACGCTTCTGTACTCTTCTACAGTTACTGGTGTCCATTTTCACATGGTGTAAGACCCACATTTGACACCCTCAGCTCCATGTTTCCTCAAGTCAGACATTTGGCAGTTGAACAATCTTCAGCCATGCCAAGGTGGGAGATGTTATCTCATTTTATTCTATTACTATTTTCCCTATTTCCATGCATTCAGACATTTGGCAGTTGAACAATCTTCAGCCATACCAAGGTGGCAATCATACCTCTATGATTGCCAACATGAAACCGTAGACTGATTATTACAATCAGCTTGTTACAACAGCTTTATGGCCAAGAGGCTTCCAAAAATGCATACATTTTTTTTGGCTTCATGGGGCTACACAACAGTGGGTAGAGCTCATCTCCCTCGCCCCAAAAAACCCGTGATGGCAGTGGGGTTTGATCCCAGGTCTCTGCTACAATGAGTCAAAGATCCTACCAACAGAGCCACCATAAGTTGGTTAAAAAAATGGATACTTTAGTTGGTGGACCTCGATGCCTGTATAAGTTTTTAAAACAAGAGAATGAGGGTTGAGGAGTTAGACTGATTTTCCATAATTAGATGATGTTGAATTCTTTTGGGGCTTGACTTTATCCAATAGTTCTATTTACCAGCTTCCATTGTAATGTACAGTGTGTTCTCAAGGTATGGAATTCACAGCTTGCCGTCAATAGTGATGATAAATCAGACAGGAAAAGTACGGTACCATGGTCCCAAGGATCTCACGTCCCTCGTACACTTTTATAAGAGTATAACAGGCAAGTGGTTATCCAAAAATGAAACAAATGTATGGATTTGATTTTCTCCACTCGTGGTTTAATTTAAATAAGGCATACCTTAATCTTATTGTTTCCCAAGCAGGACTCGAGCCAGTTGAATACTTCACTGAGGATCAATCAAGCACCCTGGGAAGTGGTGAGAAATCTCTTCTTCAGTTATGGAGGGAGTCTTCCACAGAAGTGATTCTAGCAAGGGAACCATACCTAATTTTCTCCATATTGTTCCTCTGCTTGAGGGCGGTACTATACTTGTTCCCTGAGATGTTATCTCGTCTGAAGGCTTTCTGGTTCTCATATATCCCCCGCCTGAACCTGGAAATCTTTGGAGAGACAAGCCAGTTGTTGGAACATGCGCTTCATGTGATAGATGTCAAGAGGGTTTGGAGCAAGCCGAAATTGTGTAAAACTAGGAATTTTCATCAAGGAGCTAAGAATGCCCATGTGTGGGCATCTTCATTGGCATCCGTTTCCTTGGGCGAGTCATCTTCAGCTAGAGGATCTCCTGCAGTGGAGTAGTGAGCTTCTACCGGTCACCCTGCAACCCTATCTCGAACTCAACTACGATGCAAACTGGGAGAACAGAGATTCTTGGGCTTAATCCAATGGAAGGAGGAAGGACCTTATTAAATGCAATGGAACAGGCTGGTCATGCTCAAGGGTTGGTAGTATTTTTTTCCATATTCCTTTTCCCCTGTTTTATACCTTTTCGTATGCCCTATGTACTAGTGGTTATTACTGAAGCTGTTGTCCCTTTTTTCTTCTTTGTCGGAGTTTTGAGGGGGACGCGAGCAAGCGCAACCATGTAAATCCAAGCGCATCTATAATTTGTATATTATTTTGCATTTGGGAAAACCACCTCTTATTGCACTTCAGCCACACTTAGAAATAGGGGAAGGATCTCCAAACACCAATGATATTTCTTTTCTTGTGTTAAGATCTTTTTAGCAGGTGTAGGATCGATTAGTGCTAACCAAATTGTTCAGGGACACTCGTACTCTTATATGTGACGGATGGCTTAGTTTCAATAATCGCCAGGAGAAGAAGATGCACCAGCCTTCAGCAAATGGTCGGGCAAACAATGGCAAGCGATGAATATGTGGAGTCAACCAACAAAGAACAAACTAGTCCTTGAGCAGTTGAGCTATATATATGAAGTCGGTAGGAAGCGGGAAGCTGTCTTTGCTGTTCTGTTTTATTAATTTTTGGTAAATTTGTTGTTCTGTTTATATGCTACATTTAGAGCGATTGCAGGCATTAACTGTTTTGATGGATTGCTCCGCAAACAATCTCACCTTTCAGGATTTTTTCTCAAGTTTTGGGATATCGTGTCAAAATAATGACCATGTGGTGTGCATACTTGGTGTCTAGTGGTTCACATGAAGGAAGCCTTGACTTGCGAAGAACCTAAGCCGAAGTTGCATTGCTGACTGAGAGTTTGGCCAGTTGGTTCTAATATTTTGATTCCAGTATTGGCCCTTTTCTCCCCAGTTGGGCTTAATAGGGTTCAAAGTATCGAGACGCCTACGCCTTCGGGGGTTTGGACTTCGGACCACATGTTCCCCCTTTTTTTAGGGTTTATTTTTGTCAAAATCTCACAGGTGGACCTCGGGAGTCTCTGAAGAATTGTTTACATCTTGCCACATCATCCCTCGACACAGTAGAAATGAGGATGCATGATACACTAGTACACACTACACGGATAGAACCCAACTTTTATTCTAAGTTTCAATTTCCAACACTCGGCTGTTCCCTTTGTCCTTGTCCAACTATCATTCGACAACCATCACACTCTACTTTTCTACTTATTTTGTCGCCTTTATGGCCCGCCCATGCTTACCTTTACGATTTCAATCTTCCAAGAGAAAGATGCCAGAGTTTCCAAGGTTGACAATCTTTTTTTGCATCTGGTTTCAATTTACAGCCAAACACCAAAAAACTTCCCGGGTGTCACGTTGATGCATTTGAGATTTCAACCTTTAATTAAAATTCTACAATTACCCTGAAGTTTCATATGAAGAGTAGTAGTTTGAGTATGTGAGATCTTTGAATTTGCTGTCTACAATCTTATCCCTCCAACGAGGCAAGGGTATGAAGCAAATTGCTTCTATGTTAATTATAAGAGTAATGATCAGATTGGGAATTGATACTCAATACTCAATATATTTGAGAGAGAGAGAGAGAGAGCGCCTCCCTTAAAATATTTAATTCAGAAGTCACAAACTCAAGAGGCCACGAGCTAACAAACATCGCTGATTGGAACTTTTTCTTCCACCATCCAAATCAATGCAGAAAAAGGGTTATGACCATGTCTAGACCTATTTTTTGGCTCAACTAATCTCCTTGGTAGTACCAAATCTTCTCAACATTGGAAGCATGGAAGGTTTGTGGTGCAGGACTAGTTTAGGAGTCCTATTGATGTTACATACCCCAGAGAAGATTGACGCTTTCAATGGGCTTATACAGCATATGTACTGATCTTATCAATTATTACATAAAAGATTAAAAAAAAAAAACGTTGTATTCCAAGCCGAAGGAGAGAAGTCCAGATTGTGCTCTTCAGGTAAGACAATCGTGGCTCTTTCTTCTCCTTTCGACTTTTTTTTCCTACCATTTTCTGGGCTGTCCGTTTTAGCCATCGAGACAATGACAAATTAGGACTTAGGAGGTTGACATCCATTTGTTGATTTAACATTGGAAAGGGTCCGTTTGTTTCCTACATGGAACCATTTGATTCGTTTCTTGGTCCTGCAGATTTACAGATCAACAATTGGGTATCGTATGGGGAGTTCTGGATATCCTACCCACAAGACACAACAGCTGTACATCAGGAACATCTCCCTCATGCACAACAACATCTAATTACAAGAGATGTTCCTTGCTGCGAGTCTTCTAAGAAAAGATGTGGTATTCTGTTATGTATGGATGGGACCCGTCCACAAAATAGTGTGGATAGGAACAGGCCATACCCTAATTTATCGTCCACAATATTTTCTCGCACTTTGTGGGAATGTTTCAGTGTAATGCACATGCATTACATAGGTCTAATTACTCTCATTTTAATTCTTGCACAAGTCCGATGATTCTCCTTTTCAATTCTTTTTTCATTATTTAAAATATTGATTTTTATTTTTTAATATTTAAAATAATATTTTTTAATTATTTAAAAAATGTAATTGTTGTCTATATATTGATGCCTTTTTTTCAATTTATTTACTATATAAAATGCAAAAATTAGACATTTTGATCAACTATGTAGATCTCTCATAAAATGTATATAAAATACATGGAATCAAAAATTATAGTGTGGATTAATTCACACCACACCTACAAAACGCCATTGTGGGTGTGGACTAATCCGGTCCACACAATCTATCCATAATTTAGGACAACTGTGGGATATGGTGTGGGTGTGGATTGGTCCCTGCCACAGGGTGTGGTGTGGACCAGTCCACACCCACCAATTTTTCATCACAGAACACCCCCTTAGTCTTATGAATTTGGGTTTCCTCTTCATAGAATGGTGCTCACACCCACCTCATAGCACTTGTTGCCTTGCATTAAAATTAAAAGCATCTTCTAATGAATGAAAAAGAAATTTTCCCAATATGCKACTACAACATGCTGTGAAGTGAATGTGAAGAGGAAATCTGAATTCTAGTTTTATACCCATGTAGATTGATTGGTCTTCCAACTTTCAAGAGAGCAACTCAGCTAGTGTCTGATCGAGCAAATGCACAACCATGATTATGCATAGTATAAATATATACAAAATAATACAAAATATAAAGTATAAGTTTGGCATCGATGCTGCAGATGCAAAAAACAGTGCCGCTGATGTATAGGTTGGAAGCACCGTTTTCCGAGAAAACGGTGTCTTTTTTTGTTTGGAATCATTGCTGTTAAATAAGACATTTCTTGGAACAACAACAACTTTTTCTGTTTGGTATCAATGCTCTAGGAAATGTTTTTAGCACTGGTACCCATTATCCAGTGCCACATCACTGCTACTTCACATCTTTATTGACAGCAACGAGCTATAGTTTCAGGAAACGTCGAATTTGGTGTTACTCCAAACTATGCAGAAGCAATACTCTGCATATTTCGAACATCGCTTTTTTCTAATATGGCGCCGTTTTCTGAAGCAACGGCAACGATGCCAAACAGACGCAAAGGTTTATACTCTACATATTTATATTTATACTCTTTCAAACTGAACTAGATTTGAAGCCAGTTGGAGGAGAGCTGTAAGGTTAAATTTAGTGCATCGAACGTGGAAATGTTAAGTCCCAATTTGCATGCGTTATGCTTACGTCTCCAGGAATCCGCTTTGAGTTGACAAACTGCACATGGAATTATGGACCAAACCAGAAAGGTTATCAGTCACTGGCTTAATTACTCTGAGCTAACGAGTGTTAAACACGACGAGCTCTGGGGTGAGTGTTTTCTTTGTGTGTAATCATCACTCCTCATGGAAACGGATCGAGTAAAGATTTTTTTTATTGAATGATGCTCCTCGCATAGTCAGTTGAGACAAATCCAACTGCTGGGGGTGCCCTGCCCCTCACATGCCGGAGCTGGACCCTAGTTGGAATCCGAGTCATAACATACCAACAAGAACGAATTGAGCGTAGTATATGTTTGGCATTGATGTTGTAAATATAACATGGCTGATGTGTGGATTGAAAGTACAGTTTTCTGAGAAAATGGTGTTTTTTTTTTTTGTTTAGAAGTAGTGTTGTCAATTAATATGTTTCCTGGAATAATAATAATTTTTTTTATTTGGTATCAATGTTTTAAGAAACGTTTTCAGCACTGATACCCATTATCCAATGCCACATCATTATTCTGTTGGCAACAACGAGCTGCAGCTCTAGAAAATGTTAAATTTGGCGTTGCTCTAAACCATATCTTCCCAATTTCTGAGACATGGCTTAGAACACAATTTTTATAAAAAAAATAGTTCCAAACAAATGTTTATTTCTTGAAGTACGTTTTTTTTCGATGTAATACTGATGTAACTCATTTTCAAGAGCAATGGCAACGATGCCATAGTGTATCAACTTTGTCTCTTACATATTTTAGGCAAATTATAAAACTTTAATAACAGTACATCATAATATTAATATTTACAAATGGTATTTGTACTTATAAAGGAGTTATCTCTCTTCAATCACCATCTAGACCGAAAAGGTCGTCAATAAGTTTCAGTCATCTGATATTTTTTAATCATTATTGGAGTTTTAGTGTTAATGATGATGATGATTTTAGAATTCTAGTTACTGTCATTTTTTTCACATTAGGTAATTTATTTAGTCAAATAAATATCCAACTTCTTAAGCAATTATTAAAATATTGATAATAGTCGGTGTGTATCGATATAGACTGATATTCTTTTTTATTATTTTTTTTTCATAGATTGAAAGGGATCAGGGCAGTCTTGCCCAAACTTAGAAAACCCCCATATCCCTTTTATATGTGGGTGTATGGGTATTCATGACCTTGGATATGGATATGATATATTCAATATTTTGATGCTTTAAATGATCATTGGATGGACTCAATTATTTTCTCTAACCGTTGTTTAGTGGAGTAGAACCTATTTGATGCATAAAGAAAAAGGCTACCATTATGAAGAACATGGGGGTATTCTCATTGGGGCCGAGATGGCTACTCAGTAACTATTGTCTAGCCCATTTTTTACAAAAAAAAAAAAAAAAATTTATAAAAAAAGGCTACCATTATGAATCCATGATTCAAAGTATCCATATGTCTCTGCATATCAACATAGGCATATCAGTATTTAAATACACATGAAATTCTTTTTTGTTTTTTTTTTTAATTTGGTTTTTGAGAATTAAAAAAAAAACGATATTTTTTATTAAAAAAAATGATTTGGAACCCAAAAGATACAATATTGTATCGATTTTTTGAACCTTGATTGAAACGTAATGGGTGTAACTAATTAATCAACAGAACATGAGGAGTTTTTTGATAATTCAGAGTATTGCAAATAATTAAAGTTTAAGGAGCACCAACTTGTGACAGTTGTATGGGCCATTTGGCTTTGTCTTTCACTTTTCTTCTTTTATTGCTTTTGCTTCTTGCCCTTCAATCTTTCAACATCATTCCAAGGAAAACGATTTACAAGCAACCGACACTCCTTTTTCTTTCCTCTGGAACAGAGAATCTCTTTTAGAGAAATCCTAACCCTCTTCTTTCTTTCAATTGTAGAAGCTCCAAAAAGACGAACCTGGAGAAATATATTTTTCACTCCCAGGCCCAATCTACACCCGTTCAAAGTACCATCCATCCAATAGTCAGAAGTAATATTTTCGTAATAAAACCAAAAGCATTGAAAAGAAATATCTAGGAACCTTATCAAGTGGGGATCTTTCACCTTATGATGGGTCCGGTTGGGCCGTACCCCTTTTGTCGCTAATTCCAAAGATAAAGCTCCCAAACTGCTTCCTTGGTCATTCAACCCTTACTCCAATAGCAAGAAGACATAATGGGTAGGCTGCTCTTGGAGAAATTCCACCAGAAAACACAGCAGTCCATGAAAGCCACCTTCTTGGTTCAATAATTCAACACTACTTTTCAAACCCAACTCATATTTCAGTCCATCTTTGCTCATCTTTCACCCCCTCCATCATGGAGAAGTCCTCAAGTGAGATGAGCTTGGATGAGTGGGAAGTCCTCTCAGATGATGGGTTTCTTGACCTTCACCACCATGAGGATGGTGGCAGGAGAGTGCTTTCAAAGGAGACAGCAGGTTTTGATCCCAAGGGTGTGCTGGACATGAATTATTTCATATGCCCATCTCCCCCTCCTCGCCATATGTTTGAGTCCTCCAAGAAATCCAGTGATTCAAAGGGTGTGAATCAGCTCGTTCCAGTCCCAATCAAATTGGAGCCACCGATAGGAAATAACCAAAATCATGAATTCGTCAAAGAAATTCTGGATATTCCAGTTGTAGAGTTCAGTATCATACCTGCAGCAGTGTCAGAGAAGATCAAAGCTCCAATCTTGGGACCCAAGACAGCAGATCAAGACACCGTCTCTCAAGTCTTCTTCAAGAAAATGAAGGAGCATGAATTCGTCGACATGAAATTGGACTCACCAAAGTCCAGCACCAAAGGAAGCAGGCTTCAAACTGAGGTTGGCTCGACTCAGTTTGAGAAGGAAGAGGCCTGCGAAGGGGAGTCAACAGAGCATAAGGCTTCTGGTAAAGTGGTAACTGAGGAAGAGAAAGAGAAGAAGGACAATTTCTTGGATCCGGAGATCAAAAACGACAACAATTGGGAAGATAGTGCCGGTGGTCTTTGCATTTGGAAGTGGAGACTAACTGGAATCGGTGCTCTTTGCTCTATAGGTGTAACTGCTGCCACTATTTGCATTTTCATCTTTGGAAGCCAGCAGAGGTACAAACACCATCACCAGAACCAGAAGTTCAGATTTCAGATCTACACCGATGACAAGGTTTGGTTATCTGAAAACAATCATCACTGTTTGTATCTGATCGAATTGTAACTCTTTTTCAGAAAGTATTTGTCACTGCTGAATTCTTTGACATCTTTCCCACCTAAGCAAATCTGAGAACTAACAATTCTCAAATTTGGGTTGCAGAGCATCAAACAAGTGGTCAGTAATGCAAGTAGATTGAATCACGCACTTTATGCAGTTAGAGGTGTTCCATTGGCCAGAGCTCACATATCCTTTGGAGGTTACTATGATGGCCTTTAAGGAGCCACAGTTCATGGGCATCATCCATCCATCCTGATATTACAGTAATAGTGTTTCTTTTCTATGTTAATTGTAACAGATCCAGATAGGATCTTCACATTTGTACATAGTGATATGGTAGGATGCATGTATGGATACTCAAAGGAAGTATGTTTCCTTCATCAATTCTGATTGAAGTGGCCTTTCTATGTTCATTGAACTTTATGTCATACCACTTCTAGTTAGCCACGTTACAGATAATATATTTATTTGCAGGATGCAAGTTAAATATTGGGTTTACCATTCAAAGCACTCTGACAAATTTCACTATTTCAGGCAGGATTTGGTAAAATGTAGAAAAATGATTGGGATGTTCATGACTCAAGACCCACTAGTGAGTTGAGAATGACCTAATCTAGTCCAAGTCTTGGTTCCAGATAGAATACTACTTGCCAAATTTCAGAATGATCAACTGATATTTTATCAAGAGGTCTCATCATGTATACTTACTTGGGAGTTTCAGTTCTTGATCCAATCCACTCCAGGACCAGCTGAGATATAGTCTTAATTCTTAGGCATTGGATTGGCTAATCCTAACTTGGTCCAAATTGGGCTGTGGTTTGCTTTTTCTACTTGGCTGAGAAGGTCTGATAACAATCTAAACCCAACCCTGCTTTCCTCTTTTAAGGAAACCTGATTAACAATTGGGTTGGGCACTCCCAAACAGGAACCTGTCGACATGGTTCAAAGTATCAATACGTATCGTATGAAATGCTATATAATGGGAATTAGACAGATATCACATGTTTAAATAATTATATTAGGTGTGCATTAATGGTGGTAAGATGGGTATTGATTCATCATCATCCTCATCTAAGCCTTGTTCCAACTATATGGGATCAGCTACATGTATCCTGTTTCCCCATTTTGAAGATGGTAATTGATTCATCATCATCTTCATCTAAGCCTTGTTCCAACTATATGGGATCAGCTACATGTATCCTGTTTCCCCATTCCGAGGATGGGGATTGATTGAAACTGAAAACACTTTGAACCAGCTGCTGGTGCCGGATCCTTCTCTAGCACACTCAGTAACAACTAGCAAATTCTTTTGCCTTTTGGTTCTTGCCACTGTATACTTGGATTGATTTAGAAGTTAGAACACCCAACTTGTTTTTTCTTTTTTCTTTCAATCTTATTTATCTAAGTAGCCATTCTTTGAGCCTTTAATTTATAGCATTCCAGATACCTTATAGGCTATCAGAAAGGGATTGATCATTTGATTGGACAAATTATTAAACCAGTTGAGATTTATGAGCTGTGAGTCTGTGACCCACAGGAAGGCCCAGTCTTGTTGCTTTGAGAATGAAACAACCATATGTAGACTTTTTGCAAATAGAAACATCACAATTGGAGATGGCGTGTAGGATTCCCTAACAAGAATTATCAATGATGTGATGGCCATACCATTGATACTTTACTAGGGAGAAAAAAATGATAGCTTGTAAGTAGAAAAACTAGCAAATGGTATTTTTATTCTGCCAGCCTGTGGGCTGTTATGGAAACTGCAAGCAAAGGGGCTTTCTGCTAATTGGATATCTGATCCGGCTAATATATATAAAGCACTTTGTCCATATTAATGTCATATAGCACCAGGTATTCCACTATTTTTTTCTGTGGATATCCATCTGCAGCTCTGTAGATGTTCTTCCCAAATAACTCAGCATCTGCTACCAACAAAATGCTATCAATACAGCTTTCAACATGATTTATGGCTGCAAATCTCAAACATGTTTTGTACTTGTAATGTTGTCATTGGTGGGATCATACTGTTGAGATGAAATACATGCTGGAAGATATGTTGGTAGCAGATCCGGTCTCGTGAGAATGACTTTTCGTCTGCCAAGTATCAGAGGTTTTTACAAATATTTTAGGCCCATTTTGGGACACATCAAAAGCATGTAGAATTTGATGCCTATCAACAAACTTTGCTTCAAACGGTCCCATGCTCAAGATTTTTCAGTGTTTCCAAGATTTACAAATCAAGGGGATGTTCGCCAATGTGTGATTTTGTTTTCTAAAACAAAACAACTGCCATATCAGCAAAGCATTGTTTTGAGGAGTCTGAATCTGCTAGTAACAAATAATGCTAGGCATGTTGTAGGTTTCTACCACCTATCCACCACACCAAGAGTTTGCAAAAATTAATTTGTATATATACACCTTGTTCAAGTGTTGCAGGCAGGTGACATAAACCTCTGATCTACCTAGCATTGTTTGTTACTAGCAGATCCATTAAAAAAAAAAAAAAAAAAGAACTCATACCTATAGCATACACTCGTTAAATTTTGATCTTACATGTGGTGAAAATCCCTAAAATGAGACGTTTCAATCTGGAAATTTTTAAAAGATTTTGAACTTCACTGGAAGTTGATGCATTAATTTGGACTTTTTTTGGGTGAACCTAAACATAAAAATCAAAATTAAATGAGCACTCATTCAATGGCCCCTAGATGTACAACCTACCAGAGTTTAAATAATATGTACAATGTTTTATGGTCCATAAATACTTCTTTACTATTATAATTTCAGTTGGATGGTTTAACTGAACAATAAGGTTTAATCACTTGCTATTAAACAAAACAAAGATGCCAGTGCTCAAAGAAGCTTCAACCAGTGGCCTTCATTTTTTTAAGATGACTCTAAAGTTGTGTTTGGTTTGACAGAAATAAGAGAGAAACAAAAAAAATTGAGGAAAATAAGGGATTAACAAACATTGTTAAGAGCATTCCCTCAACTTTCAATTGATCTCTTATACATTTTCTATAAAACCAAACATAAACCAAGGGTTCGTTTGGTTTGCAGGAATAGAAGTCCGGAATCGGAATCGGAATCGGAATGAGCTATTCCGATTCCAACTGTTTAGTTGGGCGGAATCGGAATCCCATTCCCATTCCTGCTGGAATGGCATTCCCTCATTTGAGGGAATGGTCATTCCCTGCCCCTCCCTTGGGAATGGAATCCCATTCCTGCTGATTTTAATTCCCATTCCCATTCCTGTCTGAACCAAACAAACTATGGGAATGGACCATTCTGATTCCGATTCTGGAAGATTTTGACTTTGATTTTGATTCCGATTCTGTTTCCGATTCCAACTATGAACCAAACGGACCCTAAGATTCAAGGCTTGGTTTACTCAAGCTTTAGTAAACATTAATGTATCATCAATATATTGTTAATGTGTGATGGATAGGCTATGCACTTGTTAGCTTTTAGCAGTGTTGCACCAAGAACCTCCACCACTAGGACAAAAAGCGAGGAAAGAGGATTTGGTTGTCTTATTCTTCTAGATGCTTGGAAGAAACCCTTTGATGAGAGTCCGAATCAGCTGCCAATTAGATAAGTTCCAACACCCTCCCAACATGATCTGACACCACACATCTCATACATGGCAAGTAGCACTTTTATAGTGGGTCCCACTTATATGTTGGAAGGGTGTGAAACGCATTTTATTGGTAGAACTCCTTTGATGATCCACTCACCAAAAACGGCAAAACCAAAAGGGATACCGATAACACATGAAAATATTCTAAAAGTCCCCACTCTAACATGGCAATAAGCCTTCTCCAAATCTTTTTTACAAGTTAAGCATAAAACACTATTCCTCTAGCATAAAACCCCATCTAAAATTTGCCTTCTTTTCACTAATCTCATTTGAATAGGTCTTACCTCTTTACGCAACAATGCAATCACTTTATGTGTATGGGCTAGAAATTAAACTCATAGGCACAGTGTTTAACTCATCTGCCCCTACTTTATCGCTATTTAGTAATAAAATTATGAAAGTAGGATTAGCACCCTTCTCCTTGTGCTTCTTTCATTTCTACCTATCAATTGTCAATCAACTCAAAAAAAAAAATCTTTGTGCTCTAATCACATATTCTCAAATAGGCCATCTCAAAAATTTGAAGTAGCGGCTGCAAACATATACAATACATGCCAGGTTAGGGGTGTAACTTGGGCCCGGTTAGCCTATACCCAACCTAAAAAACAAGATTGGGTCATCTGAAGTTGACATTCAGGTTAGGATTACCACCCATTAAGACTTTTGGGCATTCTGAACCAACCCAAACCTGGCATGTCTTAGTCTTTAAATCCATGTGTATATATATTATACAAATAGATATATTTATATTATATAAAGTAAATACTTGTTTTATTTTGGTTTTGGTGCAGGTCATAAAAATTAAATCCAAGATATCATATATATTATATAGTTATTAATTATTATTTACTTGCACATATGCATAACATGTGTTCTTACACTAATATGTATGTATGCATACATGTATGTATACTTGTATATGTATGTATATATGTATACAATTATGCATATATCATTATTAATGCATGTATCTATTTACATGTATTTTAAAGAAAAAAAAGTATACTGTACTGTAAGTATCTTATACCAAAGTTCAAAATATCGATATGCTCAATACATCGGTAGGGGCGTATCGGGCTATATCAGTATTATTATTTTTTTTACTTTTTGTTATTTGTTTTATCAAAACCGGTTCAAGGGGGCTGGTTTAAGGCTCCTCCACCCCCTGAATTGGTCAAAACCCTGATACACCCTCTGTAGGGGTGTACCGTGGAGCTCCCGAAATGATACGTATCGGCCGATACATGTCAATACTTTGAACCTTGCCTTATATTCTTAATATATCGTAAATCATCATATGGGTTAAGGTTGACCCGAATTGGACTTTACCTGACTTGACTTGCAATCATCATATGGGTTAAGGTTTTCATAGGCATGTAGATTGCAAGACTGGATAAAAAAAAATCTGAAATCTGAAATTTGAAGCTCTCTCTCTCTCTCTCTCTCTTTTAATTTCAAAAATTTTAAATACTAAAGGCTCAGTTTGGAAGGAGTACAAATACAAATATGTAGAGTGCAAAACCTTGTATTCTGTATTATTTTGTATGTATTTGCACAGTACATATTTGTATATGTACTCCTTCCAAATGGAGCCAAAATAATAAAAACTAACTTCACAATCTTGCATCGTGGACTTACAATCTAATACCTCAAAATGAGCTGAATGCAACACTACCTCCACAAAAATGTGTGGAGCAGAATGAATTTGATCACCAATAAACCTAATCACAATGCAAGGATTTGAGATTGTTCATTTTTATCAATGTTTGGATGACACATAAAGGG